ACTTAAAAATTTGTAAAAAAATCAATTTCTTGGAAAATTTTCTCGAAATTTGCACCAAATGTTGTTTAAAGCATCTATTATTACCTGAAAAGATCCATTTTGAAAAATCACTTTTAGTTTTTTAGATATACACTTTTAACGCAAACAGAATTTTCAGAAATAATGAAAGTTTTTTGGGGAAATTTAAAAATTCGTAAAAAATCAATTTCTTGGAGAACCATCACGAAATTCTCACCGATTATAAAGTAAAGCATCTACTTTTCACTAAAAAGGTCCGTTTTAAAAAGTCACTCTTAGTATTTGAGATATAAACTGTTGAAGTAAACCAAATTTTACATGTATTCAAGTTTTTGTTGGGGAAATTTAAAAATTCATTAAAATTCAATTTCTTGGAAAAGTTTTACTAAATTTGCACCAAATGTTGTTTAAAGCATCTACTTTTACATGAAAAAATCCATTTTGAAAAATGACTTTTACTTTTTTAGATATAAACTTTTAACGGAACCGAGTTTTCAAAAATAATCAAGTTTTTTTGGGGAACTTTAAAAATTCGTAAAAAATCAATTTCTTGGAAAATTTTCTTGAAATTTGCACCAAATGTAGTTTAAAGCATCTACTTTTACATGAAAAAATCCATTTTGAAAAATGACTTTTACTTTTTTAGATATAAACTTTTAACGGAACCGAGTTTTCAAAAATAATCAAGTTTTTTTGGGGAACTTTAAAAATTCGTAAAAAATCAATTTCTTGGAAAATTTTCTTGAAATTTGCACCAAATGTAGTTTAAAGCATCTACTTTTACCTGAAAAGATCCGTTTTGAAAAATCACTTTTAGTTTTTTAGATATACACTTTTAACGCAAACAGAATTTTCAGAAATAATGAAATTTGTTTGGGGAAATTTAAAAATTCGTAAAAAATCAATTTCTTGGAAAATCATCCCGAAATTTTTACCGATTATAAAGTAAAGTATCTACTTTTCACTAAAAAGGTCCGTTTTAAAAAGTCACTCTTAATATTTGAGATATAAACTCTTAAAGTAAATCAAATTTTATATGTATTCAAGTTTTTGTTGAGGAAATTTAAAAATTCATTAAAATTCAATTTCTTGGAGAATTTTCTCGAAATTTGCACCAAATGTTGTTTAAAACATCTACTTTTACCTGAAAAGATCCATTTTGAAAAATCACTTTTAGTTTTTTAGATATACACTTTTAACGCAAACAGAATTTTCAGAAATAATGAAATTTTTTTGGGGAAATTTAAAAATTCGTAAAAAATCAATTTCTTGGAAAATCATCATGAAATTTTTACCGATTATAAAGTAAAGCATCTACTTTTCACTAAAAAGGTCCGCTTTAAAAAGTCACTCTTAGTATTTGAGATATAAACTGTTGAAGTAAATCAAATTTTATATATATTCAAGTTTTTGTTGGGGAAATTTAAAAATTTATTAAAAATCAGTTTCTTGGCAAATCATCACGAAATTCTCACCGATTATAAAGTAAAGCATCTACTTTTTAGTGAAAAGATCCGTTTTGAAAAATCACTCTTACTTAGTTATTGAGATATAAATTGTTGAAGTAAATCGAATTTTATATATATCCAAGATTTTTTTTTGAAGAAATTTAAAAATTCGTAAAAAATTAATTTCTTGGAAAATCATCACGAAATTCTCATCAATTATAAATTCAAGCATCTATTTTAACCTGAACAGGTCCGTTTTGAAAGATCATTTTCAGTTTTTGAGATATAAATTTTTAACGCAAACCGGGTTTTCAGAAATAATCAGGTTTTTTTTTGGAGAAATTTAAAAAGTTGGTAAAAAATCAATTTCTTGGAAAATTTTCTTGAAATTTGCACCAAATGTAGTTTAAAGCATCTACTTTTACCTGAAAAGATCCATTTTGAAAAATCACTTTTCGTTTTTTAGATATAAACTTTTAACGGAAACTGAGTTTTCAGAAATAATCAAGTTTTTTTGGGGAAATTTAAAAATTCGTAAAAAATCAATTTCTTGGAAAATCATCATAAAATTTTTACCGATTATAAAGTAAAGCATCTACTTTTCACTAAAAAGGTCCGTTTTAAAAAGTCACTTTTACTATTTGAGATATAAACTGTTGAAGTAAATCAAATTTTATATATATTCAAGTTTTTGTTGGGGAAATTTAAAAATTCATTAAAAATCAATTTCTTGGCAAATCATCACGAAATTCTCACCGATTATAAAGTAAAGCATCTACTTTTTAGTAAAAAGATCCGTTTTGAAAAATCACTCTTACTTAGTTATTGAGATATAAATTGTTGAAGTAAATCGAATTTTATATATATCCAAGATTTTTTTTTGAAGAAATTTAAAAATTCGTAAAAAATTAATTTCTTGGAAAATCATCACGAAATTCTCATCAATTATAAATTCAAGCATCTATTTTAACCTGAACAGGTCCGTTTTGAAAGATCATTTTCAGTTTTTGAGATATAAATTTTTAACGCAAACCGGGTTTTCAGAAATAATCAGGTTTTTTTTTGGAGAAATTTAAAAAGTTGGTAAAAAATCAATTTCTTGGAAAATTTTCTTGAAATTTGCACCAAATGTAGTTTAAAGCATCTACTTTTACCTGAAAAGATCCATTTTGAAAAATCACTTTTCGTTTTTTAGATATAAACTTTTAACGGAAACTGAGTTTTCAGAAATAATCAAGTTTTTTTGGGGAAATTTAAAAATTCGTAAAAAATCAATTTCTTGGAAAATCATCATAAAATTTTTACCGATTATAAAGTAAAGCATCTACTTTTCACTAAAAAGGTCCGTTTTAAAAAGTCACTTTTAGTATTTGAGATATAAACTGTTGAAGTAAATCTAATTTTATATATATTCAAGTTTTTGTTGGGGAAATTTAAAAATTCATTAAAAATCAATTTCTTGGCAAATCATCACGAAATTCTCACCGATTATAAAGTAAAGCATCTACTTTTTAGTGAAAAGATCCGTTTTGAAAAATCACTCTTAGTTATTGAGATATAAATTGTTGAAGTAAATCGAATTTTAGATATATCCAAGATTTTTTTTGAAGAAATTTAAAAATTCGTAAAAAATTAATTTCTTGGAAAATCATCACGAAATTCTCATCAATTATAAATTCAAGCATCTATTTTAACNTTAGTTCTTGAGATATAAATTGTTGAAGTAAATCGAATTTTAGATATATCCAAGATTTTTTTTGAAGAAATTTAAAAATTCGTAAAAAATTAATTTCTTGGAAAATCATCACGAAATTCTCATCAATTATAAATTCAAGCATCTATTTTAACATGAACAGGTCCGTTTTGAAAGATAATTTTCAGTTTTTGAGATATAAACTTTTAAAACAAACCGAGTTTTCAGAAATAATCAAATTTTTTTGGGGAAATTTAAAAATTCGTAAAAAATCAATTTCTTGGAAAATCATCACGAAATTTGTACCGATTATAAAGTAAAGCATCTACTTTTCACTAAAAAGGTCCGTTTTGAAAAATCACAACTAGTTCTTGAGATATAAATCGAATTTTATACAGGGTAATTGAAATTCGAACCCCACCATGGGGATCTCAGAAACCATAAGAGATACAGAAATGGTTAAATGGGGGAAAAGTTGCGTATCATAAAGCTCATCATTTTTCAACAAAGTTTTTGGATCTAGCCGTTTTAGTTTTTAAAATATAGCCGAAAAACAAAAAAAATTACTTTTTCCTTTTTTGCCTATAACTTCTTTATTTGTCGTTTTTTCGTGAATCTGAAAAAACATTTTTAAGGCAACTTTTTATGAAAAATGTCATGACACAACTAGAAATTTTCTCCGACGTGTCGTTTTCGTGAAACTATCATCAGGTTTATTTTTTTTTAATAATTCAATGTTTGTTTAAATGAAATACATTGTGTGACATATCATTGAAATTAAAATTAATTATCCTATTATATATAATAGTAGATGCTTTAAACTAGATTTGGTGCAAATTTCAAGAAAATCTTCCAAGAAATTAATTTTTTATAAATTTTTTAATTTTCTCAAATAATCTTAAATATTTCTAAAAACTCGGTTTACTTTAGAAGTTTATATCTAAAAAACTAAAAGTGATTTTCCAAAATGGATCTTTTTATGTAAAAGTAGATGCTTTAAGTTATATTTGGTGCAAATTTCGTGAATAATTTCTAAGAAATTGATTTTTTATGAATTTTTAAATTTCTTCAAAGATAGCTTGAATATTTTTAAAAACTTTGCTTATTTTAAAAGTTTATATAATATATATATCTAAAAAACTAAAACTGATTTTTCAAAACGGATCTTATCAGGTTGAAATAGATGTTTTAAACTACATTTAGAGCAAATTTTGTAAAAATTTTCCAAGAAATCGATTTTTCACAAATTTTTAAATTTCCTTTATAAAATTTGGTTATTTCAAAGTATTTTTTTACTCAAAAATTTGTGTCTATGTATGCTTTAATTGATAATAATAACTTGACATTTTAATTATATTAATTAGTTTCATCATTAGATAGCATTATTAGAATTGTCAACAAAATAATGAAAATGAATAGGAGTTCTCTTCAAAACTTGTGCTCGTTAAGTGGATGGTAATAGAGATATCAAGTATGCCGGATGGAGACGTGAAAATATACGGGGTGGTTTTAACGATGTGTGTGTATGTGAGGGGTGAGAAGAGACTATGAATCGTGCTCCCGGTTGAAATTATCGCGTAATTAAGTGCGAAGTCGCCTCCGACGTCTACAAAAGCACCCCCGACGCTTGCCCCATGCTTTAGATTTTTAATTAAAAACTGAAACCGTCGTTTGCATTTTAATTATGACGCCCACAGCGAGAACCCTCGTTTTACCACCGCCGTTCTATCTTTCTCCCTCGTTTCTTTTAGAAAATTTTTTTTATTTTATAAAAAATTTGAAATTGTTAGATCGGATTTTGTCGTGACAAAATAAAACGATTCCTATTACGAGTAATAAACCTTTCGATCGACGTCGACAACATCAAACCTGTCGACTTCGTTCACTTCTTCGTGGTCGTCGTCGTCTTCGTTCTTATTGTCGAATGTCGTCGTTGACATTATATCCTTTTCCCTCTCACTTGATTTCCCGGTAGTCGAAACGACATTTGTTTATCTACGAGCTGCAACCGGGGGCTTCGATGTCGTAACACCGTCGTCGTCTCGACATCGTTCGCTCTTCTCTCCACACATACACACACAACAGAACCGCTCGATCTCCTCGGGAACAAGTCACGACAAGATCGCACACGACTCCCGTGTACACGCTGTACTCAATCACGACGATCCATCGGTTTCGATACCACAACCAGATAGCCATCTTTGGTAACCGAGACACGATGTCTTGTAAAAAAAAAACTATTTAAATCAATTCAATAAAAAACTTAATATTTTCGTTGACAAAGAAATATTTAGTGTAATCGTGAAAGGTTTTATCGCAAGAGATGAGTTGAAAGCGGAGCGAGGTAGTAATGGTAGTCGGTGGTACCAACGTCACCGCAACAATTACGCCAGACAATTTATAAACCCCCCAGATTGCAGCCGAGGCCGCTTCGTCTTCCGCGCTCTGACATCTCAATACACCTCCAACGTAACCGCGTCGGAAACATTTTCCTTCATATAGCAGACCTTATCTAACAATACACAGAGCTTCCGACCGCAACATACACATAGTTATATTCATGCTCGTACACGAAACAGAATAAACTTCTCATCTTAACACAAATGATTTCATTTCATTTCAGAAAACAAGTTATTCTTTGATGTGTCACAAAAAAAGATGGATATATGTCGGATTTCCTCCCTTTGGGGGTAACATTTTATGCATCTCCGCAGGGAACTTTACTTCGCCGTCGTCACGATAGATCTACAAACGTATGCATGTATGTGGAACGTGTGTTATCCGGCTGTGTAAACTTTTCTTTTTCTTTTTCTTCGGTCTTCGGGGGCCCGGAAAAACGATTTTGCCTCTCCGGTGTTTGTTTTCGGCTTTATTACGCAGAGATAGTCCCCTTTCTTTTCCCTCTTTCTATCTTCCCTCGAAACCGCACCGGGAATTCTTTCCACACTATATTTTATTTCTTTTTTTTTCCAAGATTTTGTTTTCATTTTCTATTTATTAATTTAATTTGTAAAAAACTAAAAAAAAATTGATTTGAAAATTTTCGAGAAAAATTAATTTAAAGTTTCATTATTTCCCATTTATTTGACATAGAAAATAGCAGTAGCAGCGCGTAACCATGGCAACCAATTGTTTTGATTTGACATTTCCAAGTGTCAAAATTCGATTTGAAACAGTTTATTGTGCGTTAATGAGATTATTTTGAGTTTTTTGCGTTAATTGTTGTTATTCATTGTTATTCGTTGTTATTTTTTTGTTGTTATTTGATCTTATTGTTTATCTATTATTGGTTATTTTTTAATGAATTTCTCCGTTTCTTTTGAAACGCACTGTATATAAAATTCGATTTACTTCAAACATTTATATCTTAAAAACTAAGAGTGCTTTCTTAAAGCGGACCTTTTCACCCAAAAGTACATGCTTTAATAATTTATAATCGGTGAAAATTTCGTGATGATTCTCCAAGAAATTGATTTTTCACGAATTTTTAAATTTCCTCAAAAAAAGTTGATTATTTCTGAAACCTCGGTTTGCTTTAAACGTTTAGAGTTATAAAGAGTTAAGTATATTTGAAGGTGAGTATTCAGTATTTGAGTTGTGTTTATAACTCAAAAACCGTGATGACTAGAAAAATTCTACGTGTACCATTGGATTCCACGTGAAAAAATCCAATAGAACCCGTTTTTACTTTTTTACTAAGTTTCCAGATAGCCGAGATACAGGAGGTGTTTGAAAATCGTAAATTTGTGTATATCAAAAACGAAGAGGGCTATGAAAATTTGGTTTGCGCCATTGTAAGTTTCACAAAAAAGTAGCTCAGGTTCGCGAAAGCCGCAACTTTCTATCTTTCATAATAACTGGGATACCCTGCAAACCCATCGAAATTTGAACACCCTATACACTGAGTTTTTAGAAATATCCAAGTTTATTTGAGGAAACTTAAAAATTCATAAAAAATCAATTTCTTGGTGAATTTTCACGAAATTCGCACAAAATGTAGTTTAAAGTATCTACTTTAACCTGAAAAGATCCATTTTGAAAAATCACTTTTACTTTTTTAGATATAAAGTTTTAAAGTAACCCGAATTTTTAGAAATATTCAATTTCTCTTTGGAGAAATTTAAAAATTCATAAAAAATCAATTTCTTGGCAAATATTTACGAAATTTGCATCAAATATAATTTAAAGCATCTATTTTACCCTGAAAAGATCCACTTTGAAAAATCACTTTTATTTTTTTAGATATAAACTTTTAAAGTACATTAAGTTTTTAGAAAATATCCAAGTTTATTTGAGGAAATTTAAAAATTCATAAAACATCAATTTCTTGGTAAATTTTTACGAAATTCACACGAAATGTAGTTTAAAGTATCTACTTTAACCTGAAAAGATCCATTTTGAAAAATCACTTTTACTTTTTTAGATATAAAGTTTTAAAGTAAGCCGAGTTTTTAGAAATATTTAATTTCTCATTGGAGAAATTTAAAAATTCATAAAAAATCAATTTCTTGGAAAATATTTACGAAATTTGCATCAAATATAATTTAAAGCATCTATTTTACCCTGAAAAGATCCAGTTTAAAAAATCACTTTTATTTTCTTAGATATAAACTTTTAAAGTACACTGAGTTTTTAGAAATATTCAAGTTTATTTGAGGAAATTTAAAAATGCATAAAAAATCAATTTCTTGGTAAATATTCACGAAATTTGCAACAAATATATTGTAAAGTATCTACTTTAATCTGTAAAGATTAATTTTGAAAAANAATATTCACGAAATTTGCAACAAATATATTGTAAAGTATCTACTTTAATCTGTAAAGATCCATTTTGAAAAATCACTTTTACTTTTTTAGATATAAACTTTTAAAGTAAACCGAGTTTTTAGAAATATTCAGGTTATCTTTCAGGAAATTTAAAAATTCATAAGAAATCTATTTCATGGATTATTTTTACGAAATTTGCACCAAATATAATTTAAAGCATCTATTTTACCCTGAAAAGATCCAGTTTAAAAAATCACTTTTAGTTTTTTAGATATAAACTTTTAAAGTAAACTGAGTATTTAGAAATATTCAATTTTTCTTTGGGGAAATTTAAAAATTCATAAAAAATCGATTTCTTGGAAAATGTTCACGAAATTTGCACCAAATATAATTTAAAGCATCTACTTTAACCTGAAAAGATCCATTTTGAAAAATCACTTTTACTTTTTTAGATATAAACTTTTAAAGTAAACCGAGTTTTTAGAAATATTCAGGTTATCTTTCAGGAAATTTAAAAATTCATAAGAAATCTATTTCATGGATTATTTTTACGAAATTTGCACCAAATATAATTTAAAGCATCTATTTTACCCTGAAAAGATCCAGTTTAAAAAATCACTTTTAGTTTTTTAGATATAAACTTTTAAAGTAAACTGAGTATTTAGAAATATTCAATTTTTCTTTGGGGAAATTTAAAAATTCATAAAAAATCGATTTCTTGGAAAATGTTCATGAAATTGGCATCAACTGTAGTTTAAAGCATCTACATTTAGCTGAAAAGATCCATTTTGATCAATCACGTTTAGTTATTTAGATATAAACTTTTAAAATAAACCGAGTTTTTAGAAATATTCAAGTTATTGTTGAGGAAACTTAAAAATCCATAAAAAATCAATTTCTTGGAAAATTTTCACGAAATTTGCACCAAATATAATTTAAAGCATCTATTTTAACCTGAAAAGATCCACTTTAAAAAACACTTTTATTTTTTTAGATATAAATTTTTAAAGTACACTGAGTTTTTAGAAATATCCAAATTTATTTGAGGAAATTTAAAAATTCATAAAAAATTAATTTCCTGGTAAATTTTTACAAAATTCGTAGTAAATGTAGTTTAAAGTATCTACTTTAACCTGAAAAGATCCATTTTGAAAAATCGCTTTTACTTTTTTAGATATAAACTTTTAAAGTAAACCGAGTTTTTAGAAATATTCAGGTTATCTACCAGGAAATTTAAAAATTCATAAAAAATCTATTTCTTGGAAAATTTTCACGAAATTTGCACCAAATATAATTTAAAGCATCTACTTTAACCTGAAAAGATCCATTTTGAAAAATCACTTTTAGTTTTTTAGATATAAACTTTTAAAGTAAACTGAGTATTTCGAAATATTCAATTTTTCTTTGGGGAAATTTAAAAATTCATAAAAAATCGATTTCTTGGAAAATGTTCACGAAATTTGCACCAACTGTAGTTTAAAGCATCTACATTTACCTGAAAAGATCCATTTTGATCAATCACGTTTAGTTATTTAGATATAAACTTTTAAAATAAACCGAGTTTTTAGAAATATTCAAGTTATTGTTGAGGAAATTTAAAAATTCATAAAAAATCAATTTCTTGGAAAATTTTCACGAAATTTGCACCAAATATAATTTAAAGCATCTATTTTAACCTGAAAAGATCCATTTTGAAACATCACTTTTAGTTTTTTAGATATGAACTTTTAAAATAAACCGAGTTTTCAGAAATATTCAATTTTCCTTTGGGGAAATTAAATAATTCATAAAAAATCAGTTTCTTGGTAAATTTTTACGAAATTTTCACCAAATATTATTTAAAGCATGTACTTTAACCTGAAAAGATTAGTTTTGAAAAATCGATTTTAGTTTTTTAGATATGCATTTTTGAAGTAAATCGAAATTTCTAACATGAAATAAATCACTACCATAAAAAAGAAACAAGAAAATGTAAAACAAATACTAAAAGGGTTCGATTTGAAAAAAAATGTAGGTATACAGGTGTATCAAACGTGTTGTAACGTGCTCGTCGCGACGTTTCCATCCATGTTTGCCCCACGAAATTGAAATAAAATGCAAACACGCGTCCCGCTATATTTGCATTAGCTTTAACCCTCACTCTGTCGTGTTTACGCCGATTTTTTTAACCAAC